ACAATGTGCTGCCCGCCCTCTGAGCCCCTAGCAATGCCAATCCCTTTCTGTAGCTTTGGAGAGTCGTTTGGTCATTATCCATCCCAGATCTAAAGACTCATACGGGCAGACTTCTGTGCTTTACTCCAATCCATCTATGAAAGTGAGGCCACATGTCACTGCCTCATTTCTTCTGATGGCTAATATTCTATTACAGGGACATATCACACTGTATATACCCGTTCGACAACTAATTTTTGTTGTTTCTTCTTTTGGTTCTTGTGAACAATGCTTTTTGGAACTTAATAAGGAGAATGCCTATTTATTACATAATGAAAGGCACTTCTACAAAAACTTTGAGAAATGTAATTTTTGTAAGTCCAACTTTTCAGTAATTACACCTATGAAGTGTGCGACATCGGTACATCCTTCAAGTCCACCTGGGACCTGCGAATGTCTAGGCAGAATGAACCAAGGAGACAGCCATGCGCTAAACATCAGTCCACAGGAAACCCCACTGTCTCTCCGTGTGCTGAGGCCACAGCATTCATGGGCAGTCTCTTGGGCATCACACAGGAGACTCAGCTCCTAAGATCATCATCCGAGAACACGGGTCTCTCACTTACACACAGCAGTCAGGACTCAATACTCTCTACGGCGGATTAAAAACTGCCCAGGTTGTAAAGAGAATTAAAAAATCCATTCTGCTGCCTGCTCATAGAGTGGAGCCCTAGAAAGGTATTGTCTCCATTACATTTTCATCAGAGACCAGCAAAGGGAAGTGCGGCCTGTTGTTACCGTGCAGGGGAGGTAATGACTTTCAGGTTGCTAAGCAACACCACAATGTTAAAGGCCCAAGTATCTGTGATCTCTACAGACACTCAAATTTCATTAAAACCTGCTCATACCCATTGCACAAAAGAGCTGTTAGGAGCTCATAACCAGGCGTGGGTTCTGGACATAACCGTGATTTCTTTTTAAGTGGCGTCAGAATTTCTAGGGTTCTTAAAGAGCAAATATTCCGGAGCTGTGATTAATACAATCTATAGCGTTTCCTGCACCTGTTCCTAGAAAGACAGCAAGTATGACTGGTTTGTAGTAAATAAGAGTGGTTAGTGTCCTGAATAAAACCTATATTGGGCGGGAATTGGAGAGCCTCTCTGAAGCAGGGATAAACACACTCCATGTACAAATCCGAGCGAGAGGCACAAGTGATGTGAACTGAGAGCCCACCACTGCTTCAAGGCGGAGTCGACAATGGCAGGCCTTTCAGCCGTGAGAGAAGCCACGATGTCAGGGGGCACAATCTCTGGATATCCTGGAAATGGGCCCTTTAGGGAGACATTTGCAGGAACTAATCCCCGAGGCAGGGAAGCTTTGATAGGGCCCTGACAAAAACTGTGTCACCCCTGGGACGCTGGGCCTCGGTTTCTGACTTGACCTCTGGGTAGCCCAAGTCTTTCAGCTGTGGGTCGTGATCCCGCACGGAGCTGTGGAACTGAAGGTGAGAGTCAGGGGACGCTGCTGAGAGAGCGTGATTCCACACTCATTCAAACCAGTGCCTCAGCTGGGAAAAGCTGGACACAAGCAACGTTATGGGGGCTCAACAGGCCAAATTATGGAATGTAAATATATGTGTGTACAAAACATATATGCATGCAATAACAACTAGTGTGCATGTGTATGCATACACACACATGCATGCAATAACAATTAGTGTGCATGCGTATGCATACATACGTATATGCATGCAATAACAATTAGTGTGCATGCGTATGCATACATACGTATATGCATGCAATAACAATTAGTGAAAAAGAGGCCAAGGATTTGAAGGAAAGTGGGGAGGGGGCTCTATGGGGGGGCTCGGAGGAAGGAAAGGGAGAAATATTATAATTCTATGGAGATATTTCAGTGATACCCATGCCGCATGGCTCAGTGCTACTGAAGTCTTGGTTGTGATGTACAACGTCCCATCACACAGCACCTAGCCATGCGTGGAGCCTGGGTTCAGTCACGGCAAACCCAGTTCAGCATGTGAGAATCAAACTGGTTGACCTCTGGACTGTATTACAGTAGAATACCTGGTTGTAAAGTTGCTGCTTGAGTTTCATACACAATTGTTTAATGAAATCTAGCTTGAGATTAGAACAGAATTTCTGAAATGACCCCAAACACGCATCTGTCACGGTGTAACATATATGCAAAGAGGCGTGTTCGGCTTGACGGCAGCAAAACCAAAGTTCAGATGGAGCCTGACATGTGAAAATGCTCCTGGTCCTGCAGTCACATTCAGCTGAGATTTAATCCTTCATGCAAAAGTAAAGGCACCCATCCTTCTTAGTATGCAAATACACTGCCGTCTTTAATAAAGTATTAAGTGTCTTTAATACTTTAATGGTAAAGACTTGCCATGCCGTCTTTACGTGTATGGCAAATAATAGTTTAAAATTGATTTCTTTGTGATTTATTATAAGTGGTATACCTATATACCCAGGGCTACATGAAAAATTCTCACTTGTACAGGAGGAGTCCCAGGCAGGTTTACACACACTTGTGCATGGGCGTGTACACACAGTCTCCAGAACATGTCCTCCTCTGATAGTTAAGAATTCTAGGCAATATAGAAGGAACAAAACTCCTTCCTTTTGTTCGTTGAAAAGATACAAGCAACTTATTCAGGGACTTCCCAAGGTAATTTGCAGCCTCTGGCAATCACTGGCAGAAGATCTGCCCCTCACATCCATGACCAGCGTGTGTGGAACCCGGGGTGGGGGAAGGGGATGGTTCCCAGGAGGGTCTCCAGAGCCTTCCACCAGAACTGCAGGAGAAGCTCCTTGACTTCTACCACACTCACACTAACTTGAGTAAGTGATATTGCTCTTAACAGCTTCCTGGACTCACAGTGACCCACCATGGATCACACTGACCTATCCTTGGTGGTGCATAGCTTTAACCCCGGTGTTCAGGAGGCAGAGAAGGTGGATCTCTGTGAGTTCAAGGCCAGCCTGGTTTACATAGTGAGTTCCAGAGGCAAAATTACAGCCATGAGATAGCAGCGAAAATAATTTTGTGATTGGGGTCCCCACAGCATGAGGAACTGTATTAAAGGGTCACAGCACCAGGAAGGCTGAGAACCAGTGCTCCAGATCAATGCTCCGCTCAGTCCACTTGAATGGAAGCCCACAGGATACAAGTGAGCATGAGAAGAGCTCCCTGCTCTCCCACTCCCAGCTGAGAACGGCCCATGCTCACGGAACCTTACATTCTAGCCTGTAAAAACCCAACAGTCCTGGGCGCGGCTCCCTGCGACTGTGAAAGGTACAAACGACACCATATTGAAAGGCTGTTCGTGGAGGACACACCACGTCAGACCCTACAACTCACACCGGCCACAGCACAGAGCAAGTCAGTAAGAGTAAGGGGAAGGTGACTCCACAGGCCTGAGGGTAGGGAAGAGCAGGGCAGAGGGGGAGACGCTGAGCAGGCCCAACAGTGTGCGCTGCTGTCCTAGGGCTCCTCAGGTGCCGGCCTTCACAGCAGAGCAAGCACCAAGTCCTTCTCCAAGAGTACTGGTGTACAACCCTGTGAGTGGGGCCCTTCCTAGGGTCACCTAGCGGATATCCTGAATATCAGATATTTACACCATGAAGTAAACAGTGAAAATAATTTTATGGCTGCGGGTCCCCACAGCATGAGGAACCATATTGAAGGGTCACAGCATTATTGAAGGCTAAGGACCACTGCTTTACAGAGACACAGCTAAATACTTTTTTAAAAAAAATGATAGAGAAATAGAAAAAAATAGAATGGGGCATTTCCCCTCAGAACACAGTCCTAGGCAACAGAATTTACATTTTCCGACTGTCACAAAACTCAAACACACGACAGCACCACACATAAGCCAGGCAAAATTAACATGCCGCTGATGGGTACATGTCTGTACTGAGCCCCAGGGTGTGATGGACCGGAGAGGGCCATCTTTGCTTCTGGGGACTCGTGCAGGCCCAAGCTGAGGGTCATGCAGCGTAACAGTGCCCAGCCTGTGCTCTTCAACACGGCAAAGGACAACCTTTGCAAGTCCAGGTTAACATATAACACGCTGGACGCTAGCTCAGGCTATGAAAATATAACACGCTGGACGGTAGCTCAGGCTAGGAAAATACAACACTCTGGACGGTAGCTCAGGCTAGGAAAATACAACACTCTGGACGGTAGCTCAGGCTAGGAAAATACAACACTCTGGACGGTAGCTCAGGCTAGGAAAATACAACACTCTGGACGGTAGCTCAGGCTAGGAAAATACAACACTCTGGACGGTAGCTCAGGCTAGGAAAATACAACACTCTGGACGGTAGCTCAGGCTAGGAAAATACAACACTCTGGACGGTAGCTCAGGCTAGGAAAATACAACACTCTGGACGGTAGCTCAGGCTAGGAAAATACAACACTCTGGACGGTAGCTCAGGCTAGGAAAATACAACACTCTGGACGGTAGCTCAGGCTAGGAAAATACAACACTCTGGACGGTAGCTCAGGCTAGGAAAATACAACACTCTGGACGGTAGCTCAGGCTAGGAAAATACAACACTCTGGACGGTAGCTCAGGCTAGGAAAATACAACACTCTGGACGGTAGCTCAGGCTAGGAAAATACAACACTCTGGACGGTAGCTCAGGCTAGGAAAATACAACACTCTGGATGGTAGCTCAGGCTAGGAAAATACAACACTCTGGACGGTAGCTCAGGCTAGGAAAAAGCCATTTACATTACAAACTGGGGCAGTTAGCAGAAGGAGAATACATTGGCAGAGGTGTGAAAGAATCAAACCAATGTTAAATTCCTAATCAGCCAGAGAATTTTCTCTCTCTTTCTCCCTCTTTTCCTCCCTCCCTTCTTCATTTCTCTTACACTCCTCACATGGCCCAGAAACAATGAAAAAACACAAATAGACTATGGCCAATATCAGCCACAGTTCACAGCACGGGAAGCGAATGGGAGGCCATGACCGGCCGGCTCACCATCCTCCTGAGGATCCTCAGCAGAAGCTTCTGGTCCTTCGGGTCCTCCTTGGTCACCAGGAGATTGGCAAAGGTCTCCAGGTTTTCTGGGGACAAGCTGTCGGGGTTCTCTCCTCCATACAGCTGCACGAGGATAGACAGGCACTTGGATGACGCCTCGGAGATCTCAGGGTCCTCGCTGGGAAGCTGGAAGTGGGCAGAGAGGGCGGTGTAAGTTCTTCTTCTGCAGGGCCTGACCAGCCCTGACCAGCTTCACAGTGGGAGCTGGGGTGTGAGAAGGCAGGTGAAGGCGATGGGCATTCTAGTGACTGCACCATTTAAATGCGACAGCGCTGAAGAAAGCTATCTGCACCAGCCTGACACCTGTGCTCTTTCCAACACTCCAGTGGCGATCGGGACGGATCTTACATGTGTAGCCAACACACACACTTTCTAACACGTGTAGTGAGGGTGCCAACTGCATCAACTGCTTGACTTTTTGGCGGTTCCCTCCCCCATCCTTTTCTTTATGGAGTCAGGGTTTCACTGTGAGCCCAGGCTGACCTCAGCATCCCCGCCTCCACACGCTGTGGTTACAGATGTGCCCCCTGAATACCTCTTTACATGCATGTTTACTAGTAACTTCTTAGGAAACCTCTGCTACATAAAAGAAACCAAGACTTATTATTCCTAAGTCATTTAAGACTTATTATTCATTATTAGTCATTTTTAAAAGTTTTTTTTTTTTTTTAATCAACAGGGTGTTTTTCCCTATTTCCTTCTCAGCTCATTATGGTATAGAGAAGCTACCGGAGATTCTGTGTCCTACTGATTGGTGCTTTCTATTCCTGAGTAATGTTCTACAGAGCAGACACCCACTCTCTATGCACACACTAAAGAAACGAGTCGTTTCAGATAAAGCTATAGACCTCCTGCGAGCATCTGTACGGGTCCTAAAGTAGGCATCGGTGTTCACTCCCGAGGAGCCCAGCGCAGCTGCCAGGCTGTGCATGCGGACTCGGGTTTATCTTTAAGAAAGCCATGCCAACAGCTCTCAACAGTAGCCACGCATTCCCATCACACAGCTCCGGCTGTGGCATAGTGGCGCCGTCCAGCCTCCTGTGCATGCATGTGCTCAGCCTCCTGTGCATACATGCGCTCAGCCTCCTGTGCATGCATGCGCTCAGCCTCCTGTGCATGCATGCGCTCAGCCTTGGCCTCATCCTATGGATGCCCGCTCCTCGCAGGCACGTGGTCTGTTTTACTTTACTTTTGTGTCCACCCATTCTTTGCCTATCAGTAACGAGTATTTCCAGTTCCGTGAGCATCTCTGGGCAGCTCCCTCTGGCTGGCTCCACATTTTCTGAGTATTCCCTGTAGCTTGGGACATGTCCTTCTTGTCAAAGTCACAAAGACTCTCACAGGAAAACATTTTGATAAATTCCACTAACAGATTTTTTTAACTAGGAATGGTGCTTTGGTGTCAAATCTAAAACTTCCCGACTAAACCTTCAATGCTAAAGATTTGACTTATATTTTCCTCTAAATTTATTATAGTTTTATATCTTACACTTAGATTTCACTTAACTTGAGGTTAACTTGCATATAAGATGCTGAAGCTTAGGAAGAGGGTTTTATTTCTAGTGAGTCTGTCTGTCTGTCCATCTGTCCCTGAACATCCTGTTGTGCCAGCATTGTTCCTGAAACCACATAGTTAAGTCTTCAGGAGGGCAGAGCAGAGCCCAGGCTCAGTGCAAGGAGCGCTGGCTGCTCCTGGAGAGGACCCAGCTTGGCTCCCAGAACTCACATCAGGTGGCTCACAGCCACCTGTAACTCCAGCTCCTGGAAAACCAATGACTCTGGCCTCCATGGGCTCCCACATACATGTGTGCATACCCACACACAGATACACACATGTACAATTAAAAAAATGACTCTCTGTAAAAGTGACCTGGACACGTCTGCATGGCCATCTTTCTGCTTGGTCCATCCAGGTATCTGTCCACCGCCAGTCACACGCTGTCCTCATACACCACGGAGAACTTCCCTCCGAGGGCTTTCTTCTCTTTCAAAAATTACTTCAGCCGTTTTAGGGTGTCCACTCTTCTTTATAATTTTAGAGTGGCGTGCTGTCTCTAGAAGTCTGCTGGCGAGCCTTCCACGCTGGAGCGAGTGTCCCTCTCCATCTATTCATGCCATCTTTGAGTTCTCCCCCAGACGTCTGCTGTGTTCTGGGCGTGCCCACTGCTTGAGAGCTGAGCTGCGCTTCGCTCTCTTTGGGGCAATCTTACATGCTATCATTTTTTAATCTGAGTTTCTACACACTTGTTTACACATCTGGTAAAAATGTTTAAGAAATTAATGTTCGGGTGTAATTAGCACCAAAGTTACACATACACGATTATATGACTGTACATTCTGATGAGCCTGGCCGCTGGATCTTTACTGCCTGTATTTGTGCCCCGGGTGGAATGACACACTCAGGCAGGGTTTCCTCCGAGAACGCCCGCCTTGCTTCTCAATCCATTGCACTTCTCGGAATTCTAGTACCTTGCCAACTAAGAGTGGCAGCCACGCCATCACGACTCTCCTCGTCTTAGGGAAGCGGGATTGAGCTGTTCACTATTGAATACGATGTTGGCTGTAGATTTTTCATAGACATTTTATCAGCTTGAGAAGGCTTTCCATCTAATCCTAGTTTGATGAGAGTTCTTATTGGAAACTAGTGTGAGACTCTGTCAACCGCCTTTTCTGTATAGACTCCTGTAATAGCCAATTTCTCCATAATACCATGTATCTGGTAAGATATATTAGCTGACATTTGCTGAACAAACCCTGTACATCTGGAGGAAATTCGAATCCTGCTGGGCTACTGTGTTCTGCTACACACAGGTCCGCCACACACGGGTATACTACACACGGGTACACTACACACGGGTACGCCACACACGGGTGTACGCCACACACGGGTCCACTACACACGGGTCCGCCACACACGGGTCCGCTCAATTCACAAACACTGCACTGGGGACTGCTGAATTTAAGTCATGAGAGATACTGGCCTGTGGTTGTTTCATGTGTGCAAGTCACATGTGCATGGATATATGCCTCTGTGTGTGTGTGTGTGTGTGTGTGTGTGTGTGTGTGTGTTTGGTGTTTTTCTTTTGCTTTTCCGGTCATTTTCTTGAAGTCAACATCAGACTGACCCCATCCTTAGTAAATGGATTGGGAAAGTATTTTATTTTATCTTCTCTTTTATTTTCTGTAAAAATAATAAATATTTAAAACTGTTGCTCAATCTTCTGTTTGGTAGAATATTCTGGTGAAATTACCTGGGCTTGGAGAGATTAGAAATTCAGTTTCTTTAATGGCTCTAGAACAACTCGATGTTCATCTTGGTTGACGTCTTGTGGCTATAAAAGGACAGATTAATTTCCAAAGTTGTCTGGAACATTCCCCAAAGCTCCTCTCAGGGACTGTGCCCATGCCTTCCGTCCCATACCACACCAGTTATTTCTGTTTCTCTATAATCTTTGTTAGTTTCTTCTAAGCTTTCAATTTTGCTCTTTTCCCCCCAAGAAGTTTATTTTTTTACATGATTGGTTTTCCTTTTTTATTGGCTTTGAGTTGATTTTATGTTTACTTGTTTCCTAAGGTAGCAGACAGGGTCTTCTTGCGGCATTTCTATGCACACATGTTACTGCACTGTGCGCTCATCTGTGACCCTCCCCTTCTGTCCTCCCCACTCTGCTTGCTGAGCCCCTTCCTAGCCCCCAAATAGTCTTATTTCCTCTCTTCCACCCTCCATCCCTTCCTTCTCTTATTCATTTTGTTTGCTTTGCAGCACTGAGGATTGAGCCCAGGGCCCCAGAATGCCTGACAACTGTGTCACTGCTGAGTGCTGCTCTGAAGGGTCCTCAGTATAGAGCCAGGCTCACCTCAGCCTCCAAAGCGCAGGTCATACACAGTGCCAGCACGCCAGGCTCGGCTTTCCTTTTTCTAATTTAAGTTTTTGGTATTATAAATTTTTCTCTAAATGATACTTTCAGCTACATCCTACAAATTTTGATGTATTTTCATTGTAGTTCAATTCTATATATTAAAATTTCCTTTAAGAATTCAAGTGTGTTTGCATTTTAGATGTTAAATTTTTTTTCCTGCTGTCCTTTTATGGCTGACTTCCTGCTTGGCTCCATTGCTGTCAGGGAAATAACTCCAGGAGAAAGCTGAGCTCTGGCTGGCAGTGCAAGGGTGCAGTCCGGCAGTGTGGGGCTGGACCTAGCTGCTCACAAGCAGGGAGGCAGGGAGGGATGTGCGGCCTCTTTCTCCACTGCACAGCTGGAGTTGAGGACCTGAGGCAGGGAATGGTGCCGCCCACAATGTACAGCCACCAGCAACTATTAATGCAATCTTAATCCCCACAGGCGCACGCAGGGGCCATCTCCCAAGTGCTTCCAGGCTCTGTCACCTTGACAACTAATGCTACAGCGAAGGGCTTCGTTTGTGCAGAAACTTCACTGGTTTGATCATCATTGTTTACTGCTCTCCTGACTTATATTTATAGACTCCACTACATCCAATTAAACTTGAACTTAAAATAAAGATGTCATCATTATACTTTAAGCACATCCATTTGGCACCTTGCTTTTTTCTGTCAGCCTAGCTTCTCGGAAGCGTTCTTCCTGGCCACCTGGAGTACTTTGAGGGATGATGAGATATAAGCAGATACACATATCTGGACATAATTCTAAGGAAACACACACCTGAATTTTAAAAACTGTTTTAAAGTAATTTAAAATCACAGCTATGCTGTGTTTGTTTTGCTCTAATCAATGTATCCAAACACAAAGTATTTCAGGAATCTTTCTCAGTGTGTTTTCTATTTTAAACATATTACCTACTGCAGTGCTTTGTCAGAAATTATATGGGATACTTAGTTCCAGAGAAGAAAATATATTAACAAAGACAGAATAAAAATAATCACTTCAGAGCAATGCTTCCTGCCCCTTTGATGTTGCTAATGGGGCCCGGAGACAGATCTCTGCACTGTTAGGATTTTCTCGCAGGATTCAACCCAAGGCCATCAATCCTGACGCTCCCTTTGCTCCCTTCCCTACCCCGTGCCTGCCCACCCGGCTACAGTGAGAATATCACTTCGTGCTGGAAATGCCCAGTGTCTGTGCTGCTGTTCCCGCTCCTGGGGGTGA